TTTTCAAAATACTTTAATCCATGGTATTTGAATTTTTTTTTAAATAACTATAAAAGTCACTTTTTACTAAGATAAAAAGAAACATACTTTTTTCGTTAGACACAATTTAAAATTATGAAAATAAGTTCGTTCACATCTCTTCTACTGATTCTGTTACGACAAGTGTTTATTTTCATTTCTATTACATAATGAATACAAACCCTATTAATTGAAATCATGGAGATAATTGTAAAAACGAAAATAAAATCTTTTTCTCAGTGTTCAAGTCTGCGTATAGATATATCTGAATGTGAATAGGATTCACAAGAACATTCATCTACACGGTACTTTTTTCTTGAAAATCTATTCGATGAAAAGACAAGAATAAGAAAAAAAATTGAATCTAAATTCTTATGATGAACTAGATTTCTCAATGTTTATTTCTTTTTTTTATCTTCTATTTCAACACGATGTTTTGTTATTGGTTTTTTTGATAAATAAGATACAAAAAAGAACTGAAGAAATAAAACAAAATAAATAGCATACATAAAAAAAGACCAAAATATATTATCATAAGAAACATAACATGGTGCTCCATTTTGTTTATAGAAATAGGCTTTATAATTAACAAAGCATCCGACAACCATTTGTGATAATTGTATTGTAGTTATTGTTGTTTGAATCTGTTTTGGTATGTTAAATTTCATAGCACGAAATGCATAATAAGTATACATCAATGCTATATAGAAACAACAATAGAAAAATAAATACAATACAATAGAAAAGTTTACCATGAACGATATAATTGAGAAATACAAACCAACGTCCACTAGCTGTCCAATTATGATAACTATTAAAGATAATTTTTATTAAATTAAATTAAATTAATAAAAAATATCTATTCATTTTCTTACCTATACCACGCATAAATTAAAACAGTAGAATGATGAAACCAATGAAGAAAAATTAATTTTTGTTTTCGTAATACAATAAATAATGTGTCAATAAGTTCAGCAACTTTTGATATACAAAATATTGTTATCCTATGAAAAAAAGAGAAAAGTGATAATAACAAAATATATATGCCTTTGATTTTCTATACCAATATCCAGTTACACCATAAGCATAATCAATATTACAAATAGTATAGTATAAACTTTTTTTATTTAAAGCATAAATCATTTCAGGTACACAACGTATTATACCACATAGACTAAATAAAGCTAATGAAATATTCCATAATACTAATGATAATCGTAATTCATAACGTTCATGTTTTTCCATTAATAAACGACCATAATAAATAAATTCAACATATATAACTGAATAAACAATACTTAACCACCACCATTTATTCATCCAAGCATAAATATTATCGGCATAAGTTTTATCAAGAAATTTTTTTTCGAATTCAAATACAAATGGATGATATACACCAACTGGATCTTGTACCCATGGTGTTACATTAAATGGATTTCCACTTAAATATTCACGTAGAAATGGATTTTGATAAAATGATCGAAAATTGTCCATCTATTGGATAGTTACTCTGAAGTATAGAACAAAGAAATAGAAAATACATATATAACAATTGAATTTGTCTTTTAACTTGAATCTGATGACACAAATGTAAATACATTTATATTGTACATTCTTACTTTTCGATTCTTGATGATGTGAGCGAGAATTTTCAGGGATACTTCAAAAAAAAAAATTGCAAGCATTTGTTCGAAAATGACGAGATCGAATAGAAGAAAGATGTCAAAAAGACAGATCTACTAAATCCAAATTTTAGAAATTAAAATGTTTTTTTTTCACAAGATTGACAAAAAAAAAATGAATTTTTCCTTAAATCCTATGCTAGAATAATTATGGAAAGAACGACAATAACAGATAGGATGCTTTTCTCAATTCAAGATCTATATTTATATTCTTCTTTCATTTTTTTAAATTTTATTTTAAAATAATTGAATGTCTATCATGCCATCATTTATTGATAAAATGATAATTAGGATATGTATTTTTCAAGCATAGGACAAAAACAAGTCAGAAATAGAAAGGAAACATATCACCCCGGAGTGGTTTTGAAGGGTAGGTGTTCGGTGAATAAAATGCACGTCTGATGATGTGAATAAATAAAAGGCCAGAGAAAGAGAGAGAGAGAAAAGAAAAAGGAGTATTGTTCTTATATGCATTATATAAAGTGTAAGCACATAGTTACTCTATTGAGAAATAAGGAGAAAAAAAAACAACGATTGTAACTACAAATCAAATGAATTTTATGCATAGAAACAATCAACAGATATTAATGAAAAAAATTCAAAGTAAAAGTTATGAAAAAATAGTTGTTTGGATAAATTGAAATCCAATATATTATTAAGTTGGATTTTAATGTTGTTTTAACAAATCGATTGTTTTTTTTTTCTAAATCAAGACGAACATCATTCGATAAAAGACAAGGAAAGATTATTGTCATATGATAAAACGACATTGATTTACTTCATTTTTATATTGTTCGTTCAAGCTATTCTTTTTCGTGATGCTAATATATTGCAATCTTTCTCTAAATTCTTCATATATAAATCAAATTGCTGAAAAATAAAATTAAACATAGAAAAGTTGACTAAACCTATATAGATTTGAAGGCAATCTGGTTTTTGTTTGAAGAGTATGCTTAGATACAGGCAAATATAAAATCCTGAGGGTATGGATGTGGATGAGGTGTGAGTGTAGCAACATAGTCGAATCTGAGCACACCCCAGACATCCGATATCCACCCTCTTCATATTAATCAGATGAAAATAGTCACAAATAAACAAAATAAGATCCCAAATCAATGTCTTTTCAACAATTTGTCGTTTAACTAAATTGATTTCGGTAAAACTCAATATGATTAAATGAGTTCTATTAAAAGCTCATTAAAAATGATTTTACTAGCCTAATTTCGATAGATAAATTAATGAATAAAAATGACGATGTGCATTGATTCATTGGGAGAATTAACTTTTTTTATTATTCAGTTCAAAGAATTTGTTCGCCTAACACATATTCATACTACAAATAATCTAACGAATCTTTTCAGTTCATCAACATTTTTCATCTAGTATTCGTATCGATTGTATAAATTTAAATAAAATTGTCCTATTTATTTGAAGAAAATTCTTTTCAATTCGATTTTCATAGTGACCTGTTTAAAAAACAATAGAATCAAAAGAAAAATCTAACTATGATCTATTTCAGAATGCTTCTATATATTTCACATTCAAATACACTATATCGATTAACAATTCATTTTGAGAATTGAGCAACAAATGTTGAACGAAATGTTACAAGTTGAACAAATTTGTGTTAACATATAAAATAATAATCAAATTTCTATTATTTAATCTCTATCATAGTAAAGAAGATTATCAAAGAATGTTTTTTCCTTATTCATCATTTTTCTTCGAATCATCTTTACTAAAACTAAATTATTTTCAATTATCTTTTTATTTAAAAGAAACAATTCAAGATTGACTCGAATTGCTTTTTAGTGAAACATTCTAAAATTGTATTGATTACAGTAATAATAATAGGTTTAAAAGATTGATGGTGAAAAGTTCGAACTTAATCACAATCAATTCTTTAAAAGCATTTTGATATTTTCCAAATAAACTTGACTTAAATCTGATTGAATATCTTTACAAAGCGAAATTCAATTCTTCAATCAGTTTTTTCTTGTTTACGACAATATTCTGATATCTTTTTAACAAAATTTATCAAATTTATTTCATTAGAAAGAAAAATGAAGAAAAACGGCAAATATTCTTTATTATCGAGATATTCATATTTTTTTTTCATTTCTTATTGAGTTGATAAATTTCTTTTGCAAATTTAATCGATTGAAGTTTATTCATCGGAATCACTTTCTTCGCTTTTTCATTTTAAGAGTGAGAATGGGATAGGAAATGATTGACCATTGAGATATTTTCTAGTATGTATCATAGTGAAAGGCTACGAAATTAATGAGATGAGAGAAGAGAAGCAACGATGTGTTTTTTTTTTTCAAGATCATGAAGACATAACTTAAGCACACTATTACATGTTCGAATGCGATAGATTGTAGCGCTTGATAGCAAAAGATAGACTAAGCAACATAGAATGATACCAAATCAGAGGCTTTATTTGTCTTTTTACAATTATAAAAGCTTTATAATATTGCAGTATTATTATGTAAAAGTTCAATCAATTTTCATTTTGTCATGTTGAAACGATTGGTTGCTTCGTTTGTGAAGGACTTTCATATTATCTGACTCATATTAATTCATAGAGAAATTTCGAAATTACACTCATCTATATGCAATCGTCTTCTATAGTTTGCCTTATCTTTTTCAAACAGCAATTGTTTTATATACGATATTGATCGAATTTTTATCCATCAACGTGTGTTAAATGAAATATAAATGATGTTGATTTTTCATTAGTTATCAATTAATTATGTTCTTGGTTCTTTTTTTTAGAATATTTGTGTTTCAAATACATTAACTTTTTTTCTTTATTTATGAGCAATAGTGAAACGAAAACAAAAGCAAACGACTGCGAAAGCACATCTTCTTTAGAGTATGTATTGTTTCTTGCATGAACTCGAAGACAAAGAAATGGATGAATGATTTTTCTTCAGAACAGAGAAAAAGAGAAAAAAAAATTTTTTTACAGAAAATGTTAAAAAAATCAGCTTTCATTTTTCAGTAAGATACCTATAACTCTTGCTTAATCAAAGTTATCAATCTAAACCTTGTATAGATTGTTAGGTTCTCGATAAATATTTATAAGATGCACTCAATGATTGCTAAATCATTATAGCAGATTGATATCCAAAAGGATCACGTACTGAATCGTTGATGTTTATTTTTAGGAACGACACTCACCAAAATACGAGCACAGACATCTTTTCGCGAGAAAATAATGAGATTGAACTATCTTTGCCGCGAGACGAAATTACCCTAAGTCCCTTGACAGAAGTGGTTGAACACTTCGATCTGATGAACATACGCGAATTACTTTTACGTGGTATCTATGACTTTGGTCTCGAACGTCCTAGATATGTTCAACAATGTGCTCTAAAACCGTGTATTTCGGGTTTGTTTTTTGCCATTTCTCTACAAGTGAAATTTGTTCAATAAATATTCATTCTTCTTAAAGGTTACGATGTGATTGTGCAAGCACCATCAGGCATGGGCAAAACGATAACTTTCATCATTGCACTTTTACAACAGCTCGACACAGAATGCAAAGACTGTCAAGCATTAATTCTGGTACCAACGCGTGAATTGGCTAAAAATGTATAGTTTTTTTGTAACATATTATCTTTGTTTCTTATCAATTTCTTGATTCTATTTGTAATTTAGATCCATAGAGTCGTTTTAGGACTGGGTGAACATATGAATGTGACATGTCATGCTTGTATTGGTGGTGCGAATCTTCATGAGGATATGAAACAACTTGAATCAGGTGTCCAAGTTGTTGTTAGTACACCCGGTCGGATCTATGATATGTTAAAGAGATCAGTACTTCGTACGTGATTTATTTCTTATACGTATCGCATTTTTATTCTCATTAACGTCATAGATATCCAATATATCAAAATGTTCGTATTGGATGAAGCTGATGAGCTTTTATCGCGCGGTTTTAAAGACCAAATCTATGATATATTTATGATGCTGCCAAAACATGTTCAGGTCATTGTTGCATCGGACACAATGGCCTTCGATTTACTCGAAATTGCAGCTAAATATATGAATGATCCTGTAAAAGTTCTTATCAAGAGAGAAGAACGAACGCTCGAAGGTATTCGTCAATTTTATGTAAATGTCGAACGTGAGGTAAATAGACGTGCTTGCCATTTAATGTGATATTGAACTGATATATAATTATTCTTCTATCAAGGAATGGAAATTAGATACATTATATGATTTATTTGATACATTAACGATCACACAAACTGTTATCTTTTGTAATACGCGTCAAAAAGTCGATTCGTTAACTGAAAAACTACGTGCACGTAATTTAACTGTGTCTTCTCTGGTCAGTTTTACCATGATAATTTTGAAATAAATATTTGTTAAAGTCATACATTGAGATAAAAAAATGATTCTTTATTTATTGTAGTATCTTGATATGGATGCACAACAACGTAATGATGCCATAAAAGAATTTCGAACAGGTTCCAGTCGAATCTTGGTTAGAACTGATATGCTAGCAGGTGATACTGGTATTCCACAAGTTAGTCCTATTATCAATTATGATCTACCGACTAATCGTGAGAGCTATATTCATCGGTAAGAATAAATAATTTCGAAAACAAATGAAATTTGTTCTTCTGATTAAGTATTGGACGTAGTGGTAGATTTGGTCGAAGAGGTACAGCTATCAATTTCATTACCAATGATCAACAACAAACATTAAAACACATTGAACAATATTATAATACACGAATCGAAGAACTACCCATAAACATTGATGATTTGATTTAAAAGAAAAAATTCTCTTCTTGTTTTTTTTTTTGCATTAATACAAACACCATCGCATTATTATCATCTTCTAATATCTATACTCAAGAGATGAAAAATCACTTCTAAATAACATTCATTGAATTCTTTTTTATGCTTACTTTCTGATTTAATGAAATAAAGATGACTAATACTAGAATATGTCATTATAATCAAGAAATAGTTTAATGAACAATAATTTTCGTTTTTTCTGTTTGCTAAGTCGTATTTATCATGTTTATTGCTATATTTCGTTCTTCAGAGAGAAAACAAATCATTTATTTCATATATTAGAAATGTATCTGAAAAATGAACTTTCTGGAGGGTGTGGATGTGTACGTATGTGTGTAAGTATGCAGTAAAAGAAGACCGACACCTACATACTCGCCACCTTCATTTCTATTTCGTCATTCGAAAAATCTTCTACTGGTAACAAATATGTTTTTGCAAAAATGACTTAGATCCTCTTTTATTTTATGATCCAGGTCAAACAAGCAGACCGTAAGATCTTACATGGTCATACGTCTGATCTTGCATAATCTTGTAAGATCAAACGAAAAATCGTGGTCTCAGGATAAGATCTTATAATAATCTTATAGTGCTATTCTTGATGTCTGTAAACCAAAGTAAATGGGAAAATATGATGTTGCTCAAGTTTTGCAAAATAATTTCTAATGAAATAGACTCTTAAGAGTTTACTTTTAATAATCTAGCATCGTCCTTTACACCTTCATATACTACTTCCGATGACATTGACTCATGCACATGCATTATCTATATGTGCTTATAAACTTTCGAAGTGACATATTTCTTCTTTATAACAATGGCATAATTATTTTTGGTTATCATCTGACAGAGAAGTATGTCTTTGATTTCTTTTTATTTGTAGACAATTGAATAATGTATCTGAAGTTGCATATGATAAGTCCAATTAATGCAGTAAAATGAATCAATATCAAAATAAATAAAAAGCCCAATAATACACTGAAAAAAAAATATGAGAAAATTTCCAACTGACGAATTTTATTATGAAACAAATCAAGCAATAAATCATTGTCATAGCATCAATCAGCATATAAATTGAATTATTTTTTAAAATAAAACTCAATTGAATAGGGGTGTGGGTTGATCTTAGTTTCACCCACCCACACCCTTCACTTCCTCAATCGATAGCTACAAGAACCATAAACTAGATAGCGATTATTGACTCTTAACTTACAAAATAAAGATATACACACTTCTAAATATATTGTCATCAATAAATTATGAATTATGAACAATCTTTGTCTTCAAAACAAAAATATTTCTTGATTTCCATTCTAGATAAAACTCCTATATAAGATAAGAGCTCCATCACATTGACTAAAGTAAAACCTTACCATCAATATTAAACACTGGCCAAGAAATGACTAACGCCACAAACATAATTAAGTAACCGAAATCTATGGATAAGCACGTATCCTCATTACAACAACATTGTAAGTTTTCTCTCAAAACTTTCGACAATACAACTGAACATCAGGATACACTATATCGAAAAATTAATCTTAGCACGTATCGAAACGCATCTTGCTACCTATTGATTGATTTCTTGTAAATCTTTCTATAAACACACTCACAACCGACATCCACCCATATCGTACACACCCGATACGGTTTCATGTATTTTACCTGTAACATATCGTAAAATGGCCAACAGCGATTTGTTTAAAATACTAATAAAATACGGATCGTACTACTGCATCAAATATGACAGATGAGTACGAACTGTTTAAGGCACTTGTTGACACAGTTTACGGCCATAAACTAGCCATTTTTTCATCGTTTACTACCCGAATACAGCTCATAAACGATATACATATCGACTTGAGTCGATTTAGTTCTAGAATGCTACAGTAAAAGTGGAAGTCATTATTACAAAAAAAAAATAATTGCGCAGAAAACAGAAATATAGATGATAGTTCTAATAAAGATATGTTTTGATTTTGTCAATCATAGCTAATTTGACAAATACAATGATTTCATTTGTAATTTTAAGAATTTTCGCCATTAAATCAGATACATTTACTTCAATTGAACTTGTTTTGTTTATACAAAATTCTAGTAGAGAAATTTTTTTTAAAGGCGGATGAGTCTCGACGAAAGCAAGTAATGCAGGTAAACTTTTTTCACTGATTAGATTATTTATGAATTCCAATTGAGACAATGAATTTGGTAATGAAGAGAGAATTGCTTGAAAACCAATGTCACCAATTTCACTTCCATCTGCTTTGAAGATTCACCTGAATAATGTCGAAAGTAAAAATATCGAAAGCCAAATGATCGAAAAGTAAAGATGCCGAAAACAAAATCCCCAAAATAGTACCTCCAAAACCAAACATTTTTATAGTAAACTACGGAAGTTCCATACTGATGTAGAATGAATCAAGAAAACATATGAAGCGAGATTGTGCTAACTATCAGTAAATAAATGAAGAACAATTATATTTAACACTATCGGATAAGTATGGAACGCATCTCAAGTGGAGAGAGAAATATAAAGTATAACCCACAAAGAATTAAGAAACAAAAGAATATTTGTTATATATAAATTCGAACACACGCATCATGGATTAATAAAATTTGAATAGCGTGTTCAAAGAGTACAATTTATATCAATTCAATGGTCAGCCGGTACATCTCGAAAGAAAAATTCCCGCACGTTGTCTCTTCAACACAGTATTAATACTCTTTACAGTCGATATAATACTAATCAGATCAATTCTTCTCAACTTCTAAAAGGGTACGCAGAGGTTGTAGCAAAGAAAAATAAATAAAGATGCATACGTTTGGCAGAAGTTTTTCTTCAGCCCTCATTGGTTACTGCATTATTCGTTCATTATTGTCTTCGTTAAGATTTTTTTATAGTTGCTCTAGTTTTAAATCTTAATAAATTCTTCATTGTAACACTATAATAACAAATTTCTCTGTACTATTGTCCTACACTAATTTCGACCTTTTTAAATTTCGACATTTTATTTTTTCGCACAAATTCAGGTTAACCATTAAAAATAGTTGAATTTTACACGTGTACTTCTACAACATATTGAATCTTTCATATATTTTACATAATTAGCATAACTTTAATATCATAAATCCATTGTTTATCTCTTCGTTTTCTATATATGTATATATATATTATTTTGTTTTTGCTGTAAAATGCCATGTTTCACTGCAGCATCTACCGAGTTGCTTGCTAAATGTTACGTTTTCAACAAGAAAAACATATGCAAACTTGCATATCTCGAATAAACTCTAAAAAATTCAAGCAACAAATAATGAATACAAATGAGACATGACAAAGCAATGTGTCATATACGATCAAAAAACAGTAAATAGGAAAATGTACGAAAACAAAATAACCAATTTTTCTGAAATTAACATATTTTTGAATGACAATAAAAGTAGAAATCGTCAAAGGTTCGGTGACAAAGAAGATGATGAAGAAAATATCATTTAATTTATCAGAGTCAATTTTGAAGAATACTGTTTCTTTCGAAGAAGTGAAAAAAATTTGAACATATTTTATTTTGAAACAATAAATATGATTATAGACCTTTCGTAAAGGTGAAAACTTTCAGTATTGTTAGCAGAGATGGGACCGGTCCGGTTTTCAACCGAACCGACCGACCGTAACCGAGATCGATTCGGTTAGAAATATTAAAAAAATTCGGTCTGTTACGTTCGGTTTGGTTAGAAAGAATCGACATAATCGTTTCATTTGAGTTTAATGGACTTCAGTGAAACATAAGAAGAAAAAAGAATACAATCGTACAACAATTAGCTGTTGCTCGTAACGCGGATTATCTCACATATTTTTTAAATTTGTCCTGAGCGGTAAGGAAGTTCTAATACAGTAAGAAGATCCAATAAATAATCTTTATTCTTTGCTGTCTCTAAATGTTCATTATTGGTAGTTGCTATTGTTTGATTTGTTGTTGCTAATTTATAAAGCACCAATACCCTAATTAACATAATCTAAACTTTGCTTTTTCTAACCTAGGTTCGATTATGAAATTTTTGAAATTCGATCGGTTACATTCGGTTCGGTTTGGCAAAAATGCCAATCGATCTCATCTTTGATTGTTAGGATAAAAAAAATAACATCCGAAACAATCAGTTTTTATCCCGAATTCTCTTATTCCTTATAGTTGAAGAAAAGGATTCGAAAAGAAATTTCTTTTATTGTTTTCTTGTTCTTTAAGTATAGTTAAACATCTATTTCATTATTATAAAATAAATCAATAAACCAATAATAAAAAATATTATTAATATAGAAAATATAGATTGCTTTAATCTATTTATTTCACTGATTTATTTCCATAATTTATCAACTATTTTTTCATCTGTACAAAGAAAAGTTATTTGAGAGACCGCACTATTTCGAAAAACATACAAATTGAATCTTTGATATTTTATTCAATGAAAAGAGTATAGACTCAAAATAGAAATCCTGAGTATGTTTAAGTGAAGATTCAGTTGTAAAATAAATAATTATTCGTGCATGTTTTTGTTGTTTTAGCAAAAGCAATTTTAAGTAAACATAACATTGAATAAAAAATCAGAAATCGATAAAAGTAGAACTTGATGAAAATGAATTAATACTTACCGCTAAATAGATAAAAGAATCATTCGAAGAAGACAAAGAGATAAAAAAAGAATATATGAATTCAAACAAACTAGTATGTAAATATTTTCTTATAATTTATAAGTTGATAATATTTGATAAGCTTTTACATATTAAAACATAAAATCGATTTTCTTCGTTATTATATAATTCAGCAAAATTGTGAACAAATTCAAATGGACATAAATCACTTTCCATTATATCGAATATTTTATTTTCTTCATATTCTCGTTGAACATATAATTGTCAGACAGCTTGACGACCTTTATCCATATAATGAGAGACAATAATCACTCGAACTCCTATAGATAATCTCGTTAAGAAATAATATTTGAGCGTTTTAGAAAAATTTTAAACCTCGTCAAAGATGATCTTTGGCAATTTCATAAACAATATTACTAATAAAAATTGTTTTACGTTGCATTAATTGAGTACTTGGACAAAATTTTCTATTTAACCATAATTTATTATATAGCCATGCTGTCATTACTGAAAATACATCAATTAATAATAAAACTAGGCTGGCTGTGCGTGTGAGTTCTTTCTTTCATTCACACTCATACCCACACCCTTACTTACAAATGCTAAGTAAGATTGAGAACGAAAATGTTCATAGAAGAACTATCTACCACATTCGATTAGAGATTGAAGCATTTCTTGAGTGTAAGCTTTTCGGTTTTATTCCTTCGATATTATGAACAAAGAGCGACGTTTTCATAAGTCAATCATAAATCGACGAAAGAAGCGAATGAAAGCATGCTCTTTCGTTCTAAAAGAAACCAAAGCTTGAAAGAAAAAAGCATAACAAAAAATGATTTAGTATGTGACATGTTGTTTTTTATTCACATATTTTTATTCTGGAAAGTACGAATATCCGTAGAAAACAGAGAAAATAACGAGCACCACATTCAAGCATATCAAATAAGCAATTATTCTGCATATTTTCCATTAAAAAACTGCTCTGAAACATATAAGATACACCCTGTAATTATCAATATCATATGGCATAACTTTACATAGGAGTTCATCGTCATAGAAAATAGAACTTTGCTAATATTACTCTATGTCAATCAGACTCAGATATCATAGAAAGGTTATAGGGAGTAGCAGTAAATCGATAGAAACAGTATTATTGTCGCTTTTTCATCAGTCTCGTGTGAAATTTGCTTACAATGACATACAGGTGACCGGACAATTCGTTGCAATGACACAAGTCAGTCAAAATTAGAATGTATTTTTCAAAAATGGAACAACTTATTCAATTAAGTTTGAAACATTTAATTCAATGACCATAAAAATTATTAGAAATATTACTAATGAGTAGAATTCTAGTTTTGATCTCAGGATGTCCACTATAAAGAATTCTAGTGAGACAAAAAATCAGATTCGTTTCCTACTCCATAATTAATGTCAATAGAATGTAAAAAACCTTCGATTAGGAGATATCATCAAAACTATTCCCGACATTGCATAATTCAACGATTCAATCAGACTAGTTTCGTTTTAAATATATAAAATAACACGTGATGCTCCCTAAAATAGCAGAATTTGTGCGTCCAACGTGAAGATTTAAAAATAGAAATTCATTAAGAGTTTTTTTTGTAATGACGTCGATGCTGCTCTGCTTCAGTGAACGCTAAATTTTGTTAGTCTTTTCAAGGTATTTTCTCATTGTCAGCAGCCTTGAGCTGCAGCATAAATTTAAAAAAATGTGCATTACTACTTCCACTGGTATAGGAAAACTTTCATTACTTGTATAGCTCGAACAAACTAAACTTTTATCAGCACAAAAAGGCTATTGTACTGTTCAAGATCAAAAATTCAAATTTAGTCATTAGTAATATTGTTAATAATTTTTATGGTCATTGAATTACATGTTTCAAACTTAATTGAATAAGTTTTTTCATTGTTGAAAAATAGATACTAATTTTGATTGGCTTATGTCATTGCAACGAATCGTCCATGCGACGAATTGTCTGCAACGAACTGTCCTAGTACCGAGATACAGTATATACTTCTAAAACTTCATTTTTCTTGAAATCTAATTAAGATTTTTTTTATGGAATAGACTGCCTAATTCACAACTGCATTGTTTGTTTCTAAGTTTTAACCTTTATATTAATACTTTTATTTCATTTGTAAATTGATGTAGTTGTATTGTGGTGATTGGAACATTGTCATTATGCTAACTTTTAAACAATTTTCAAGCAACAAAAACAATAAGTAAGCAGAATGGGTGTCGGTGAGTGTGAGTGTGGTTGCGAATAAAGAAAGCAATTACCCACACCCACACCTACCCTCAGGTTTCCATATTTTATTTACTTTTTTTTTATCAGTGTAAAGGTCATTCACACAAAACATTTTTACCAAAACATTTCTGGCGCTTTAGTCTCCTGAATAAAAAAAGAAAATTTGAGTTTAATTCTAGATCGGCTTTAGTAGCTTCAGTTCAATCTGTTGAGATATAAAATAGCTTGTTAGTGTGTTAATGCAGCTTGTGCAATATTTGATGAGTATATTGAAATCAAAGTTGTATTGAAATTATATAGTTCGAAAGAGAAAAGTCTTGGCTACAAAATAGTTCTAAAAATTTAATTTTGTTCAATGAAATTTCTGGCAAAGAAAATTGATATTTTTTGTCTATATGGAAGCGCAAAACAATGACTTTTCCCCTTTTTCTATTAAAAAATTCACATCGATAGCAACCTAAAGACTTGGTAGTATATTTGGTAGATGGTCTAGATGATAAGACGTTTCTTAAAAAGTAAATTATCAAAATCCGTTAGCTAGAAGCTGAGATATCAGTGCTTCACTGTTAACGAATAAAATTTACTTGGTAAAAATTTTCTAATCAATATTTAAACTATTTTGTATTTTAAAACGACAGTTTTTGCTGAGCGCCACACGGCATGAAAGTAACTATTCCACTGATGGTTCATGATTATGATAATCAGTAAATGAATATTGAATTTCTTTTTTCTGATTCAATTTCAATCTTATGTGAAAGTATTTGGGACAGAATATTCCGAAATGGAATATTTTTTTTTTCATAAACGATCAATATTTGGAGATGCTTAAGAAAACTTTGCGTATTTTCTAGTGATAAACGTTTCATCCCAGAATATTTCTATTGCTTTTTCTTCAATGAAGAAATTTTCGTTGGAAAAAACCTGATGTGTCTCTCTTCATTATTATCATGTTTCATCGTTGATACTCATTGTCTTTTGAGTGTAAGTGTTAATGAGTTGAGTGATGACTCATACTAACAGTCACATGCCATCATTTTTATTAACATTTGTAATTTGAGGGAGTTGACAAATCGAATCATTCTTTATTGATAACAACAAAGGTAACTTTATCTTATCATGCGCGTTGATGACGATAATAAAATGGGCAAGTAGAAAATAAACTTGAGCTGAGAGTATGTAAGATTTTTAGTTGACTGTTTGCAAAATGAATAATAGAATGAATACGATTTTCAAAAGAAACTCGTCTGCCTCATCGTCATCAACAGTAAATGATCCAGTAAGCGATTTATACAAAGCCTGTTGTGATGGTGATGAGGATCTAGTACGAGGCTTATTGGCATCTCTTCAATATAATGATGTGAATCGTCGTGAATCGAATGGAAGTACTGCATTACACGCAGCAACATCTTTTGGATACGCTAACATAGTTCGAATTCTTCTCGATTTTCATGTCGACCGCCGCCAACGAAATTGTAATGGGTTAACAGCTTATCAAGAAGCACGAACAGATGAAATTCGTCTACTTTTTCATCGACCAATTCGAGAACGTCAACGATTTTATGATGATCAATCTTCGCCATTTGAGTTCATCAATAAAACTAATCCGAATGAAGCGCATGAAGAGATGCCCTCAGGATGGATCAATAGGTTAGAAACAGATCGAAAGATTACTCAATATCGACAAATGTTATCAATGTCAAAATATATATATAGTTCAGAATGGGGTCAAAAGTACATTGCATTCTATACTCGATTCATCGATCGAAACAGCACAATAAGTCCACAATATTTTATTCGTCAACTTGAACAGCTCATTAATGAAACTTTTCCAACTGATTCCGCACAATATTCAGTAGTCCATGCATTGTTCGATGAATACAAGCGAACAGAACGGCCTGAACCACTTTTAACTCTCTATTCACTTAATTCACCTTTTTATACTCGTATGACAGAGAGTATAGATAACTCGAGTTTTCTCATATTTAATATTTGGAAACATTTGAAATCTCTGACGCCACGCTTTTTTCGAGGAACATCTTACCGAGGCTTGTCAATAACTCGAGATGATCTTCGAACATATGAATGGGCTATGAATAAGGATGATCGGATTGTTGGAATCTTTCGATTCGCTTCATCAACAACTGAACGTAGTGTAGCAGAATTCTATGGTGATATGGCACCATCTGACCGTCTTTCAACGCTAATGGTTTTCAATTTCGATAGTCCATGTAATGGAGCCATTCAATTATATTCCACTTCAAACGATATTTCCTGCATATCAAACTTTGAAGATGAACGAGAAGTCTTAATCTTACCTGCTACTCTCTTTCGAGTTTGGAAAATCGAAATGGACGAACGTACTGGTCGACATATCATTTATCTCAATCAAATACCAGATGCCGAAAATCCCAGATTGCATTGTCTCACAAACATACTTCTTGAAACATGCAAAAATCTAACTAATTGGTTCTCTTTTCTTCGTTGAAACCCTATTATTTCTTCATCAATACGCTGTATTTACTGCACAAGAGCAATAATTTGTACAGACACGAATCAAAATACCTCTAAAAATCTAAGCTACTGCTGTTTCATCCCAAAGATTTTAAAATCTACTAGGACGATTCTATTCCAACTGCGCAAATATAAAAAGAAAATGACTGTACCCCAACTACATATTAGTTTAAGTTGTATTGCTTTGATAAGAAAAAAGATGATCAATTTATAATTATAGAAAAGTCAATTCGCTTCTTTTCTTTGTCGACAACAGATTTTCAAGTCTTTCTGGATATATATCAGTAGTTGTACTTGGATTTAGGCTCGAAATTATAAAATATATATTTTTCATTCGTTCTATTTGAGTTTCGAGGCCTCGAAATATATCCTATCGAATATCTATTGTCGACGGCTCGTCTTCTTTTAGATCCATCGGCAGATATCGGAATTTTGAGTATTCAATAAATAAATACCTGTCAAGATAATTGTATCGAGCGGAACGCTGGAAATAAGTCCGACACAATACCAACTTCAAGCGATGAACGTCGGTTTTCCCTTTTTGTGAAACTCATTGGAAAACGCTATTTACAAATGCTTTTTTCAGTTTGATATATTTTCTAGTTAGTTTCATAATTTTATAAAAAGTTTTCAATATTTTGAAACTTCAGGAAAAACCGATGCATTTGTTAAGCACATCTAGAATAAAGGACGGGGGCGCATAAGAGGCCAAATCGGCCCATTAGGAATTTTCCGTGATAACCCTATTGAATCATACATCATTCGAAAGAGCAAGTTAAAATGAACATTTTGATGC